AAGTAAATGATTTTGTCCTCACTTCCTTTTCTCTTTCTTTTCTTTCCTTTCTCCTCCCTCATCCTTTCTTTCTTCCTTCCGTCCTTTTTGTAAAATTAAATTTTCACTCTATCATTGAAAATATCAGATTTAATGATCACAACTAAGATGCAGGAATCTACAGGACAGGTCCACTAACGTTATCTCATTTACTGTAATATACTCTCGTAGGTGGGCATTTGGAAGGAATCCCTGGTGGTGTAGTGGTTAAGAGCTATGGCTGCTAACCAAAAGGTCTGCAGTTCAAATCCACCAAGAGCTCCTTGGAAACCGTACGAAGCAGTTCTTCTCTGTCCTATAGGGTCGCTATGAGTCGGATTTGACTTGATGGCATTTTTTTTTCTTTTTTTTCGAGAGGCATTGTTACATCCACATTTAAAGATATGGACCCTGATCCTCAGAGAGGCCAAGTAACTGGCCTGATGTCACACAGCCAATATTAAGCAAAGCCAAGAGGTGAGACTGTTCTGCAGATGATGGCAGGATACTGTCTTCATGGAAGAATCTTTAAAGGAAGCCAATGGGCTCATTAAAATTCAAACTTTAATCTTCACAAGGCAGATTCTTTCCCTCAGCACCTGTCGACTTAGAGATTTTAATGAATAATACTCCATAATTTGTTGATGTGTTCTTTGGAGTTAGGAAGTGGTCGGAAAGGGCTTGGTCAAGGATAAACTTTTATCTTTAACACTTTTTTTTTTTTTTTTTATGTTTCCAAGATTACTGATGTTTACAAGAGACTTTATTTTACCTTTTGTTTCATGACTGAAATCTCAGAGAATTCTTAGAAGTACACAGATTGGAAACTACACATTTAAAATTTTTACAGAGTAGAATTTTCTTATGTAAAAATCTATCTTATATTCTGATAATAGATTAAACTTAGATTTGGAGGAATTTTGTGTGCTATATGGGGAGGTAAGTAGTTTGAAATTCATGTGGTTTTCTTTTTTGCTGAACTAACATACAACTCTAGCAAAAAAAGTTGATATTTAGATTTGCCCTTTGAAGAGCCTAGTAGAAACAAGGAATATGTATTAATGCCTTGATACCTAATGTGAGGCCATCTACACAGATGATGCTCAGCCAGTTATGGGTTTTTGAAGGCTTTTCCCTGCCTCAATCAAACACTGCAAATCTATACCTTGTTTTAATAGGGCTTCCGCTGTACCAAATCAAACGAAATCCCCTGAAATGCCACTATATAGGTGACATGGTGAGAGTAGTTTTTTCTTTCAATGTCAGCATCTAAGAGGATTCAGCTCTACCAGAATTTCTGCAATTGTCATGAGAACCAATCTGTAGCACAATTACCTGACATGCATGCTAACAATGCAGATTCCTTGGCCTCACTGCAAAACCTCTAGAGTGGGAACCAGGCTTCAGGTCCTCAGGTGATTCGTACAAAATATAAGTACAATTCAAGACTATTTTCTATGCTAACTGCTTATATCTGTCCTTAAAAAAATAAACTTTTTTCCTGGAGTAAATTCTGACTCATAGAGACCCGATTGGACAGACTAGAACTCCCCACAGGGTTTCCAAGTAGTGGCGGGTGGATTTGAAAAGCAAACCTTTTGGCTATCAGTGGCGCTCTTAACCACTGCACCACCAGAGCTGTCCTTACCCCTTCCCAAATTCCACAGTGGGAAAGTCCTATTGCTTGTGAGAAAAATGAGTTAATGAAGGATAATTACATTTCCTTTCATCACGTTCAGTTTCTCTAGCAACGGTTTCTATGTTGGTAGTCAACTTCAGATTTTCTGTGCAAATGTAGCATTCAATGAACTGGTTGCTGTCATGTCTATTCCGACTCCTAGTGGCTTCTTGTGTGTCACCATAGAGTTGTGCCCCACAAAGTTTGCATTAGATGATTTTTTGGAAGTAGATTGCTAGACCTTTTTTCTGAGACACTGCTTGGTTGACTTGAACCTGCAGGTTTTTGGTTAGCCCCTAAGCAGGTTAACCATTTGTACCATCCAGGAACTCCAAGAGTGGTGTTAGGGATTCCTAAATCCACAGACAATTCACCAAGTGTAATTTGGAAAGTATAATTCTGCCAACAGATTTCACCTTCATCCACACAAAATATTTTATTGTTCTCAATAGGTAGCAAATTTGAAACAATAAGTTTTATTGTCCCTTTAGAAACTTTTCTACCCAGGCCCTTTATCCTTCTTATATTGATAATCAACAAAAGTGTAAGAGTTCCATAATCTAACCACAGTCTATGACCATTAGATATCTCCAGTATTTTTTTCTTTTTGAATAGTTCTCTTGACTAAAAAATAATAATAATATGGTCTTTGTTGAACAATACGATGATAGTAATTAGTATCACTGAAAGTGTATGTAAAGATAGTAGACTTGGCAAATATTTTAATTCCTTTACACTTACTACAAAAGAAAAAAAACGGAAGAAGAATTATAATAATGATTATAATAGCAATGCTGCTTATTATACGATGACTTTGTTTCAGGAACTATCATTAAGGATGCTTTCATTTAATCCTCCCAGCAATCTTATGAGCTATTCTTATTAGTTTATTATTATTGTCCACGTGAAGCACATGAGAAAAGTAAGGCTCAGACAGTTAAGTAATTAATTCAATGTCACACATTCAGGCCTACTGACTATCCTATTAAACATTGCATATCCTTGCCGCCACTTCTTCAGACATATTGCCATTCTTTCCTTAAATGCACTCTCCTTTTTTTTAATTTTTCATTTAAATTTTTGTAAAAATATAAAAAACTCAACATTTGCAAATTCAACATTTTTCATATGTACAATTCAATAAAAACAATAACATTAAACGTGCAAACATCATCGGTATTCATTGCCAATTTTTCCATCCCCGTGATCAAAAACTCTGTATTACCTGAAAAATGATTCTCCCCTTTCTCTGTCCTTGTTTGCCCTGTAAACACTATTAAGCACTAATCTTTATACCTTTATCTATTCTAGATACTTCATATAAGTATAATCATACAAATACACTCTACTTACCTCTATTTGTTTAAACCTTACATCATTTTCCAGGTCCCCCTCAATTCCTCCCTCCTCAAGAAGCCTTTTCTCATGATTCTAGACCTCACAAACCTCTCTCAGCATTCCCAGAGTAGCTCATTAATGTTTTCATATTATGTGTATCTTGTCTTCTTTGACTGGATCCTTCTGAAGTGTTAGTTCTCATCTTTAACACCTCCCACTGTTTCTAGTACTGCTCTAGCAAGATACTGCATGCTCAGTCAAAGCTTGCTTATTTGTAACCTCTTCCAAACCAAGTACCTACCTGAATACCAAAAGCTTTGGTTAAAGCCAGTGCTTTAATGAGCTGTGTGTCTTGCACAAGGGATGTTGACTCCCTTGTAGTCGACTCTGAAACCCATACAGGTGAGCTGATACTTTTCAGAAGCTGATCTTCGGGCCAAGTCTAATGGTACCTTATTTGAATTAAAATCAATCACTTAAATCATTTAAAATAATTTTGGAGTTTAATTCCATTTGGAGCTGAAAGCCATCCCATGTCTATTCTCTTAAGGACAATAGGAATCTCCATTTTTGCAGGGACACCAGATCTTAATCAGGATTGAGGACTTTTGTGACAGCATGACCAACTCTTCACTGGGTTCACCGTACTACAGATTCATAAGAATTATACAGTCAGTGGTGAAGGAAGAATATTCATGTTGCCTTGCTGCAAATTATGACGATAAACTGAAAACCTTCTCTGACACTTCCATATACTACCACAATCCTAGAAAAGGTAAAGTGTTATCTGGTGAAAATGAGGAATTACAAAATAACTAGAACTACAGTATTTACTCAAGGATGGGAAGAGGGATTGAATGAGTTAAGGACCTGGATATACACAGATTAAATCATGCTGATAAAAGATTCAGAAATATCAAATGCTTAGGACTACAAGAAGAAGAATATAGAAAGGTGCCCCTTAGTACTTTTCAACATTAATCAAGCACACTGATGCCAAGGAAATACCTCACCCCACTTCAAATTCTATATAGAGCCATTCTTAAACACGGTTACTCTTTGGAGTGACCTAACCTCTTGCCTTCCAATCAACTTCATCTCATGGCGACCCCATGTGTTACAGAAGAAAACTGTACCATAAGATTTTCTTGGCTGTAATCTTTACAGGACCAGATCACCAGGCCTTTCTTGTGCAGCACTGCTGAGTGGGTTCAAATTGCCAATCTTTAGGTTAGTAGTTGAGCAAGAATTGTTAGCACCTCCTAGGGACCCTCTCTCCCATTAGTCTGTTTGACATCCAATATACCTCCAACTTCAAGCTATTTTCTGTATGAACAGTTCTTAAAATGTTTAACTAATTACTCAAAGACAAGTGAATTTTTGGCATAGCTGCTAGACTTTAGATGAACTGAACTTCTAAGTTATTATCCACAATTTGATTGACTGATTTATTTCATCCTACCAATATTGGTAACCTCTTGGGGAGAATTTGCAGTCACAGCATGTCTGAAGATGTGGAGATGTTGAGGGACAGGGCCATCAAGTGTACATCCCTCCTTCATGAAACTTCATGGAGAAGGGTCTGGGACATTCTGAGGAGGAGTTAACTAGAGGCAGATGCAGAGAGAATGGAGTGTGTTCCCACCAGAGGCTGGAACTAGAGGACAGATAGGAGGACGGAACTGGGGTGCTCACAGAGATGGTCCTGAGGGAATGAGATAGGATTACTTTAGGAGCATCTGAGGACCTCACTAGAATCTCCTTCTCACCAGACATATTTGAGGTCTTGGTGTGCTAATGCTGGACATGACTAAAAATAATATTAATAATAATGAGGTCAAATTTATTTTAGAAGTTCACAAGTATCATGCAAATTAGAGTACTGAATTTGTTTAAGCTTTTTATTTGGTCTTTGACAAAAATATCATTTCTGATTAAGTCAATTGACCTTTTGCTTCCTAGGCAGGCAATGGTTCTATCAGTGTTGCACTGAATTTGGTTTCTTTAAGACCACGGATTCAAAGGACCAGCCCTTCAATGGACTGCCTCTCAGGTAAACTCTCTGCTTAGACTTCTGTTTGCCACTAGAAACCGTGATAGTAAGTTTTTTGTTGGTTTGTTTATTTTCCATACTCAAATTGATCAGATTGGTGAAAACTTAAGGGAGAAATCTCCTGGATGGAAGTTTGAGAAATTGATAATATTCCAATGCGATATGTAGAATCCAATATCAGTTTTCCGAATCTAAGATAATTAGTAGCTGCCAGAATACACTCTATAGGTTTTACAGAATGAATGATAATAAATAAACTAGCAGCCTCATTCTCACTGGTTGGCATTACAGGGTCATTTTATTTAACACGCTTTCACCAAGAAGGTACTTTGTCTGTTATTGAAAAATACAATTAAGGAAGATGGGTGACAGCAAAGTTGTAGATAAAGAAGGCAATTTCTCCATCTGTTTTGAATTTTATGTCAGCCAAGATTTGCTGGTTGTATGAAGCAAGACAGGTGACCCTTAGTCAAATTTTCTCTTATTAGTTTATAAGCCTTTGTTCATATTGACTGTGTTTGTAGAGCAAGATATTGTTTCTGATCTCTAGATTTGTCCACTAGAAATATAAGCTAATAAATATGAAGAACTTTAAAGTCAATTTTATAGTTAAAATTGCAGGAGGAGCATTCTTTATCTGTATCTAAGTATGTCTGTGTGTAGATATCTTGTACATGAAAATGCATAGATAATATAATAGGTAAAAAATATCTTGTAGGGTAGGTAAAATCATGAAAAAAGTATAAACTTCGGGGAAAAAAAGTATGAACTCTGCATTAGAGGCAGCTTTCACTCTCACTGCCTCTATACTCTCTTCCTTCTTAACAGGCAGGCAGGCTATGCACTGAGTTTTCTTCCTTCCACAGTGATTACTAGTCCATGTTCAAGTGTGGACTTGGTGGGAAGGCAAAGAAAATAATTTTCTGCTTTCTTGTCCTGAAGCCCTAGGTGGAGTCCAGAAAACAGCAGCAGGTGGTGTCTATAGCCTCCTCCTCAATTGGCCAAGGGTACTATAGACAATTACTTTGCTGGCCGCATTCTTCTGTGCTTTCCTATTAGAAGACCTCATAGAAGGAGAAGCTGAACTAGGATAGATAGACAGAGACAAAGAGAGAGAGAGAAAATTTTCCTGCTTAAACTGAAGAAATCCCTTTAGCAATTGTAAGAAACTCAGAACTCAGGGGAAAACAAAACAACTGAAAAACCAAAAAAAAACACACTCTTTCTGTAAATTTCTTTCTTACACTCCTCAATCCTACTCTCCAGCACCTAAAACTTTGTGTCATTTTCTTTGCAGTTATTATGTTCAGCAATGTTCAGATTTCTTTGGCCCTAAGTTTAATCTCGATTCACTGAACATGGGTGTTATGTCCACCAACTTGTACTACCGTGGCTTCAATGTGAGAGGAAGCAAAATCATCTTTTCCAGTGGTTCCTTTGACCCTTGGCACATTCTGGGAATCACAAAGGATATCAGCAAAGATTTGCCTGCTATCTTCATTAAAGGTAACCATTGTGAACAGTTACAGCCTACAAATAGTATGAAATATGTCAGCATGTAATAATAAATTAAGAAGCCTACCTTGATTCAGTAGTTGAATTATTGCCTTCAATATGGGAGAACCAGATTGGATTCCAGGACAATACACATCATGTACAGCCACCATCTGTCTGTCATTGGAGGTTTGTGTGTGTTATGATGCTGAATAGTTTCAGTTGAGCTTCCAAACTAAGGTAAACTAGGAAGAAAGCTCTGGTGATCTATTTCTTGACATAAGCCAATGAAAACCCTATGAGTCACAATAGTTTGATCTGTAACCAGTCACGGGAATGGCCCAGCACCAGGAAGCAATTAATTCTATTGTGTATTGGGTCGCCATGAGTTGAGGGTCGACTTGTATCCACAGTCAACACCTACGGAAGCAGCAGTCAATAAATCAAAGGATGTATTGCATTGGGCAAATCTGCTGTAAAAGATCTCTTAAAGTGTTAAAAAGCAAAGATGTTACTTGAAGAACTAAGGTCTGCCTGACTCAAGCCATGGTGTTTTCAATCGCCTCATATGCATGTGAAAGCTGGACAACAAATAAGGAAGACTCAAGATGAATCAATGCCTTTGAATTATGGTGTTGGCGAGCAATATTGAATGTACTATGGGCTGCCAAAAGAATCTACAAATCTTCCTTGGAAGAACTACAGCCAGAATGATCATTAGAAGTGAGGATGGTGAGATTTTCTCTTACATAGTTTGGACATGATCTCAAGAAGGACTAGTCCCTGTAGAAGGATGTCATGCTTGTTAGATGGTCAGCGAAAAAGAGGAAGACCCTCAACAAGATGAGGTTAACAATGGCAGCAACAGTGAGCTCAATTATAACAAGGATCATGGGGATGGCACAGGACGAGGCAGGATTTTGTTTTGTTGTAGGTAGGGTCACTATGAATCGGAACCTACTTGATGGCACTGAACAACAAGAACATAGCCACATGGGGCTCATGGCAGCTACCTTATTGAACAATGCAGGTCAAACTTTACATGTATAGTCTCATTATATCCTCCTAAGAATCAAGGGTAATTGATTTTACAGATAAGGAAACTGACCATAAAATCAATAAACCTGTTGCTGTGGATTTGACCCCGAATCTTGATAGCCCTGTGTGTGCCAGAATAGAACTATGCTCCATAGTGTTTTCAGTGGCTGATTTTTTTTTTTTTTTAATGGAAATGGATATCCATACCTTTCTTCTGAGGCATCTCTGGGTGGATTCACACCTCCAACCTTTCTGATAGCAGAGGAATGTAACAACAGTTTGTACCAGCCAGGGACTTATACAGAGGTTAAGACTACTGGCCTAACACTCACGCTGTTATAAGTAGTAGGACCAGAACTTAAAGCCAAGGGGCCTCACTGGAACTCATGCTCATTAACCACTGTGCCACCTGCCTCCCAGGTTGTTTGGTGATATAAGTTCTTATGATTTAAAAAAGACCTTGAAAACCTGAGAAAGCCATTGCAAATCCCTCTTTTTCATGAAATTAGTAAGAAGGAGTGCTCAAATTCATTCACTTAAAAATATTTATGGAGGGTCTTCTTGTGTCAGATGCTGTGCTGGACACTAGATGTGTAAGGGTGGACACAGTCACTGCTCCAGGGAGCTACTCGCCATACATGTGAGACCGACATTGATCAAATAACTGCAGAGAGAGCATTCCTGGGTCATGGATGTCTGAACAAAATTGAGAAAGATAAGAAGTTTATGATTCACCCTCTCGGAAGTAATCTCCTTGGTCACTGGGACTGGATCTTATTCAACTTTGAATCTATGTTGCCTATTACATGGTTGATGTTCAGAGATTGTACGCTGATTAAAAAATGCTACTCATGCCATTATAAAAATGAAGAGAACCTGGTAAGAAGAAAAAAGTATGATCTTTAGGTTTGTTCACAATTGCTGAAGAAGAGACAACTTATCCGCAACTAGAGAATAATTTGAAGTATTGAGGCAAACTTTGTAGATAAATATGCCTTTTCCACTTCAGCTCCATTTCCACATCTTTTTTATTATTCCATTTCTAATCTTGTATTCAACTAGTTCTTTGTGCTCATTGAAAATATAGTTTTCTGGTTCATTGTATTAGATAATAATAAAATCATGATGGTATAATAACCTGCTTTTTCAAGACTTCCAGCAAAATGGAGCTCTAGGCGGAAGTACCACGCTGTCCCTCCAGAGCAAAGATCCGAAAAACTAAGCCAAACAGACAAGACAGGGATCCTGAAACCCTAAAATATCAAATGAAGAAATGAAGAACTGAGCCTAGCACCAATGGAGTGAGAAAACTGACAGAGAACGGAGAGCGAGTAGAGATTCATGCAGAGGTCCCCTATCAGCTAACGCAGCGTGGATCTGCCATCTTGGACTCCTATCAAAGACAGCCAATAGGGGGGTATGAGAAAGCAGCTTCCCAGAGCTTCAGCTGGAGACAGAACAACTGGTAATTTGTGATATACTCTTTCCCATCCCCCACCCTTCTTCACCCCCACTGGGACTCCTCTGCTTACCACAGCCACAGTCTCTTGTCCGGGAAGCACCAGCTGCTTGGATTCCACCCACCAACACTGGCCGGCTCTCTGAGAGCCATTTGTTGGCTGCTGGTGTTCCTCTTTTTCCGCTTCTTTTGATTTCTTCCTTACCTCTCACAACCTCCCCCTCCTTTCGTTCAAATACCTGGTTCGTGCAACATCTTTGCTTCTTCCTGAGGGGCTGCAGAGCTCTGGTAATTTGTGATATACGCTTCCCCACCCCCCACCCTTCTTCAGCCCCACTCGGACTCCTCTGCTTCCCACAGCCGCAGTCTCTTGTCCGGGAAGCACTGGCCACTGGGATTCCACCCACCTGCACTGGCTGGCTCTCTGAGTGCCATTTGTTGTTGCTTTTTTTCCACTTCTTTTGATTTCTCCCTTACCTGTTACCACCTCCCCCTCCTTTCACTCAAATACCTGGCTCCACATGCCATCTTTGCTTCTTCCTGAGGAGCTGCGGAGCTCTGTTCGAGTGTGGAACTGCTTCCCGGTCTGGGCTGCCCTGCTGGTGGGCTGTTGGGAACCCAGAGCTTCTATTTGTTTGTTTGTTTTGAATTGTTTGTTCATTTTCTTTTCCTTTTCTTGAGTTGGGAACCTGTTATGGCAGGGCGGTACTGCACAGTGGAACCCTCCCCCTCGGCTTTCGCAGACGCGCAGAGGGATCCCGGAGGGCATTTCTTTTTTCGTAGGTTTTTTTTTTCTTTCTGTTTTTTTGGGGGGGCTTTCCTTGTTTTAATTTTTTTAAATTTGTTTTGTTTTCTTTTCCCTCTTTTTCCCTTTTTTTCTTTCTTCATTACTCACTTTCTTGTCTCTCTATACCTTCCTTCTCTTTCTGTCCCCTGAATACCTGGCGCTAAATACCTCTAGGCCTTCTAGCCAGGCTGTACTGCAACACCAGAGAACAACTTCCCCAGACCTCATAGCTGCGCCAGTGGGATCCCTGGGAACTTTGCTGTTCTTTTCCCTTTCCGGTTTTTATTTATTCATTCTTTTCTTTTCTTTTTCTTCTTCTTCCCCTTTATGTTTTTCTCTGTTTAATAGTCTCTCATCTCTCCACTTCAATGACAAGCTCCCCTAGCATTCTTTTTTGTTTGTTTGTATGTTTTTGGCTCCTGTTCCTCTCTCTTCTCTCCAATATCCATCTGAGCTCCACACATAACAATCTCCCCCCTACATCCTGCCTACATGGGCCATGAACTTAACATCACACCACAAAGCAGCACAGTCATGGCCTATTGGAACCTACCCTGCACTGATTACTAACCCGCCCTGGTGGCTGTAGTAAGTGCCACAAACAACCCGTCCCAGTAACTCTTCTTCAGCTAGACCTGCCCTGCTATACCATATCTGAGTGACTGACGCTACCAATTGGAGAAGGAGGTGAAAAGTATCGTGCCCACAGACAAACAAATGACAAAGAACACACAGCCCGCCTGCTCAGACATAGACAAATTAAAAAAAAAGGACAAAACAAATAAATCTACAATCAGTAAACGAGAAAAATAACTACTGAGTGCCTGGAAGACAGCAGACAATATCAAAACATTTACAAAAAACAGGACAGGATGGTTGCAGTAGTCATCCAAAATAAAACACCAGATGACTTTCCAGTGGAAGAAAAGGCACTAGAACTACCTGATAGGGAATTCAAATCTCTAATACTCAGAATTCTCCAAGAGCTGAAGCAAAAAGCAGACAAAAATGAGGAAAAATAGACAAATTCATGGAAAATAGAGACAAAAACTTCAAAGACTTCAGGAAAATAATGCAGAAAAAAAATGCCAAAATAAATTCACAACTAGAAATTATACAGAAACAACAGTTAGAAATCAAAAAGATAAACAACAAGGTATCAAAAATGGAAGGTGTCATAGAAGGGATGAGGAGCAGATTTGAAACAGTGGAAGACAATCAGTGGAATTGATGAAAAACACTTGTATACAACTCCATTTGAGGAAAACTCAGAAAAAAGAACAAAGAAAAATGAAGAGACCCTGAGAATTATATGGGATACAATCAAAAGCAAAACATTGCGACTGACTGGAGTTCCAGAACAGGGGGAGAAAACAAAAAACACAGAGAGGATCATTGAAGAACTGCTGACAGAAAACTTCCCCAATATAATGAAAGATGAGGATATGGTCATCCAAGAAGTTCAAAGAACCCCATATAGGATAGACACCAAAAGAAAATCACCAAGGCATATCATAACCACACTTGCCAAAACCAAAGACAAAGAATCATGAGAGCAGCTCGTGAAAAACAAGAAGTCACATACAGAGGAGAAACAGTAAGACTAAGCTCAGATTATTTGGCAGAAACCATGCAGGCAAGAAGGCAATGGGATGACATATATAAAACTTTGAAAAAAACAAATTGCCAGCCAAGAATAATATATTCTGCAAAACTCTTGTTCAGATATGATGGTGAAATTAGGACATTTCCAGATAAACAGAAAATAAGAGAAAATGTAAAAACCAAACCAAACTTACAAGAATTATTAAAGGGAGTTCTTCGATCTGAGAACAAACAGCTTCAGCTCACAGGCAGAATCTAGGACTCAGGATCGTACAAGCCCGATGCCAGTCTAGGAAATGAATTCTCAAGGATTATCCAAAACGAAAAGAAATACAACAGAGAATCAGAGCAGTTAATCAGTAAATGACAACAACATCAGAACAATAATAGAGGGAATAAACGGAGGAGGTATAGAGCATTCTAATGAAGAGGAAGGCAAGGTGATACCAAGTAATAATAGACTG